CTCCTCCTGCACCCCAGGGTCCAGGGCGGGAGTAGACGGCTTTCAATAAAACTTTTATGTCCCCTCTGTTCTCTCTCCAGCGCCTTTGCAGCGAGGGCACGTTTCCAAGCAAACCCTTAGCCCACCCCTCCCGATCTGCACAATATAGCCTGTATATTGTACATAATGAGGGACACAAACCAGGGAGGAAAGACAGCAGAAAGAGCTTTAACCAGCTCACCAGCCACAGCTGGTCCAGTCCTGCTGTAAGTCCCTTTTCCTCGGCTCATTGGGGTTCGACAGAGCCAGACCAAGGCTAGCTGAGTCGGCACAGCTCCGTCCCACCCCACCTCACACCAAGAAGCCAGCTGCTTCTTCAACTACATCAGCAGTGAACCTAAAGGTCTCAAGATGAGCGCGGTGTGGGCAGAGGAGCAGCCCCAAAGTCAAAGCTGGCGCAGAGAAGTGTTTTGATACCCACACCCAGGCCTGTCCGTGGCAAACGGCGGCCCTGGGACCTTTTGCCATGGCCGGGCGGCTGTCCAGGCGTGCTGGAGAGGGGCAGGAATCAGGGGGGCACCCCACTCGCCCCGTCCTCCGCCGGCAGATGCGTGCGAAGGTTTGTGGGTGCAGAGGGAGGGCACAAGATGAACCACCAGCCCCAACCACGTGCCAAACGCCTTCCTCGCACACGCTCTGCACCCACAGCCACCAGACAACGGAGCTGGCCACGAGGCTCCCGGGACGCCGGGACTCCCAGCACCAGGGATCGGAGGGAAGCGGGCACCCAGCCAGCCCGCGGCCGCGTACACCCTCGCCCGCTCAGGGCTGCTCTCACCAGCACGTGGTTCGCTCTAACGACTGGGATTCACCATTGAAAACACCCGTCCGTGCAGATGACGGCTGAGGAAGACGTGAGCCACCGCTGACACGGTGCAGCTGAGGCGAGGGAACCAGAGGAGCAGGGACAGGAACGCCTCGGGGGCTTCAACCTGTGCCCACGCTTCGGTTGCTTTTGCGAGAAGGATGCCCAGAAGGATTGTCTGCGGCGTCTTTGCCCCTCACCTGGAGCTTCACAGCTCGGCCAGGACGGGGGGCACACACAGCCTCTGCCCTCGATCATTAATTACATCAGGAGCAGCACATGCCACCCCCCCTCCCCCCCTCCCCGGCCAGGCCAACAGGTAAACCCATCTGTTTTACCACCAGTATGAGCCAGGATGGGGCTCTCCCCCACCCTCCCCGGGAAGCCGGTGAAGGTGAGAGGCTGAGGATGGAGTCGGATATGAGATGAGCACTAGTGAGAGGCATCCTTAGATCACAGTTTCGTGCCCACAGCACTCCCGAAGCTCGGTGCTACGGTAGCTGTCGCTTGCTCTGTGCGAGGACAGTAACGATCCAATTGAGCCCAGGCTGGGCAACGTGGAGGCTGAGGGCAAAGCAGTCCTTCAAACTGTGATCTAAAAGCAATAGCTCCCTTCGAGGTGAGGGCCCCAAGAGGCCGTGGGGACGGGTGTGCCTGTACCCACCTCCAGAAGGTTTCTATTGCTCCAGCATATGCTGGGTGGATGGAAGAATGACGAGGACTAGCCAGCGAGTCTGATGGTGGATGGAAAAAATGGTATTTTTTTTGCACGACGCACCACCACTTACCAGCAAGAAGCTTCCTATGTTCTTTAGAAAGCAGGGAAGGGGGAGGAGAAAAAGGAGAGAACAAAACAGTTAGAAACAAGAAAACAGACAGCTAACCCAAAGCTTTCCTACCCTCCCCCAAGCCCCCTTCTCCAATGCTCCGCTATCGACACCGCCTGGAGCAGCTTCCATCCATCTTCTCCAGGCCTTTCCAGGCAGCATTGGGCACTAGCTCCCAGACCACCCCAGAAGATTGTGGCTGGGTCGCCAGCCTTCCAAACCCATTGATTTAAACATGTTTTCATGGCACTATGGGTTCCCAGATCCGCAGATATCCAGAAACCAGCAGGAGCCTGACGTTACTGATGACCTCACACACTGCAACAGGCTAAATCACACGCAGCAAACCAAGGTGCAAACAGAGAGCCCCACAACCAGAACACTAAGTATGTGCAAACAACCACCACAAAACCCCCACCAGGAACATCTCAGCACTGACCGCTGACTATCAGCCACGCAACACCAGCATCCTGGGTTAGATACCGCAGTTGATTTGGTCCACGGAGAAGCCAACTCTTTCCTTACAAGGACAGCTAAAGCAGGTCCTGGAGAACGTAACAAGTGCAGCCAAAGACTCAGAAGCCAACATGCATTAACCATTAAACTTCATGGGCTGCCTTGTCAATAGATGATGTTCTGAAACCAAACTTGTGATCTGGAAACGTTCAGGAGCTAAGCCTGGACCTATCTGCAGCCATGCCAGCTTCCCAGTACAGGATACCAAGGACCAGATATTTCCCATCCAACTCAAAGGGGCACATCCTTCACCATCACAGCTTGATGCCTCCTACCCAAACACATCACCTGGGCTGGAACCGCTTTTGAAGTCTAGGAAACCAGAGCACAAGATGAAAACAAGGTTCCCAACACACACGATTAAAGAGAAGGTTAACGGTTAAACAGCTGAGCATTTTAATAGCTGTTGTTGAGCACTGCTTATTTATCTGCAAGTAATCGATGGCAGTAGAGACGTCCTGTAACCATTATACCATTCATTCTAGATGCCTATGGAAATAAGAGCTGTCCTCACGGCCAGGTCCGTGTCCCACCAGGACATGGGTGTCTCCCAGTGTGAAATGCAACTCTTGACTCCTCTCTTCTGTTCCTCCCAGACCGCTCTGTCTCCTCACAGGACCCCACGCTAGCTGCTGGAGAGTTAAAAGCAGGGTGGAGTTTGGAGAACATGGTGCTGCGTGTGTGCTTTCCTCGGGCTGGACTCTCCAAGGCTGCTGAAAGAGGACGGACACGGCGCCCAGGGGAAGCATGGCCAGACGGGTGGGATGCAGGGGACAGAGGTGGGCGAATTCCTGGGGAAAGGGAGCGTGCTGGCCCACACAGCAGAGGAAACGGAGGAGGAAGGCGAGGATGCAGCTGGAGCAGAGAGCCTCACCCGCTGCCCCGGTACCCGGGTGCGGAGGCCCCCTCCTCGTGCTCTGCATGCCACGTTAGCAGCAGCTCCCACAATGGGCTGTGGGACATGGGTAATGTGACACTGTGAAGAGTCCTGACAGCTCACTGAGACTATTAGGGGAAAAACAAAGTGAGCATTGAGGGCTGGAGACGGCCCCATGCCAAGGAAGTGACGTGCAGCCTTCTCCATTGGCAACCGGGAGCCCTCTCAGCTATAAGCTGTTGGGAGATGCAGGGAAGAAAGGAAGAGGGGGAAAAACAGCTTAAAAATATCCCAGAGCAGCACAGTTATTTTGGGATTTTAATTTATAAAAAAAAAAGAGGAAGAAAAACAGAAATGAAAGCCAAGACCCCGTGGCCAGCTCTGGTGCGGATGAAATATTAGCGTCTGGCTGCAGGACTGCAGCACTCCCTCCCTTCCTTTGCCTCCTAATTAAAATTAGGTGGATTGCGCTGTCTCCATCACATCCTTCTGTCACCTGGCCGAAGAGATGGCTCTTCTGGGCCCCCGGACAGCACGGGCTCGGGCTGCCAGCAGGACCTGAGCCCACCTCCTCCTACTCTGCCGCTCCTGGGGAGCAGCAGGAGAGCCCCTTCTTGCCGCAGCAGCAAGAGTCCTCTTGTCAAGGTGGAACAAAGGCTCAAGAGCAGCAGCAACGCGTTTGGGACAGCAGAATAGACCTGATTATGCCAGGGTGCAGGGAGGGCTCAGGGGCTTTTCCTGGGCCATTCAGATACAGAAGCCCCAGGGACCCCACCTGGAGTTCTGCATCCAGCTCTGGAGCCCCCGACTTGGGAAGGACGTGGATGTGTTGGAGAGGGTCCAGAGGAGGCCACGAAGATGATCAGAGGGCTGGAGCACCTCTCCTGCGAGGACAGGCTGAGGGAGTTGGGGCTGTTCACCCTAGAGAAGAGAAGGCTCCGGGGTGACCTTAGAGCAGCTGCCAGTACCTGAAGGGGCCGACAGGAAGGATGGAGAGGGTGGTGGGGCCCTAGCCCTGGCTGCCCAGAGAAGCTGTGGCTGCCCCCTCCTTGGCAGTGCTCAAGGCCAGGTTGGATGGAGCTCTGAGCACCCTGGGCTGGAGGAAGATGTCCCTGCTCATGGCAGGAGGGTTGGAACCAGATGATCTTTCATGTCCCTTCCAACCCAAACCATTCTATGATTCTACAAAACCATCTGCCCACCATGCTTCAGGGGATTCGAGTCGATCACCGTCCCTTGCGAAGGGCAAGGCGGAGGATGCCGGCGTGGGAGAGGCGGTCGCTGCGGGGAACAGAGCATGGGCAGTCATTAGGTGTCACGTATTTCGGGGGACGTTCCCGTTGAGCAGGGGGAGTCTCGAAGCCCCCCCCGCCTTTGCTGTGTGGGTGTCAGGCAGCTCACCCAGCTCAGCCCCGTCACCTCGGGCACCGCGGCAGAGCCAGCAGCTGCCTGGCAGCACTCGGTTGCACCTCATTTGCTGCGCAGACAGCACTTCTCACCCGGCTGCTTGGCAGCAGGCAGGTCCCTCAGCTGCTGGCACGAGCGACACAGCCCTGGCACCCCAGGGACCCCTCCAACATGGTCCAGACTCCATCACTTAACATGCACAGGACAAGTGACACACCTGAGGCCACTAAGTGAGAAACTGTGGCAGAGGATTATCACACACAGAGAACAGCGGTCAAGCTGCAAACAGAAAATCTCACTTCCCACGTGCGAGAGCACGGCATTCCCAAAGCAGCACCTTTTCTTTAAGGCACCCCTGAAGCTCCTGCACATAGGAGGTGTGAAGACCCTCAGGTCCAGCTGGGGCTTTGTGCTGTGCCACCGCCTGCTCAATAGCAACTGAAGCTTTCATATGCAGATACCGAAACCTGATGTTCACTGGGGCTGTAACAGCAGCTGCTTTTCAGAGTCCAGGGAAAAACCAGAAGGAGCAAGACAGCGACAAAGAGAAGATGAATTCGCCCAGCCAAGACCCCCACAGAGCTGCCAACTTCAGCGCTGCAGCCCTCAGGAAATGAGAATCGCAGCTTTGTAGCACCCAGGACAAGAGACACGAGCGCTGCTCCAAGCTGAAATCCCACCTGGCTGCCTGGGCTGCCGAGCAGCAGAATCACAGAATAGTAGGGGTTGGAAGGGACCTCTGTGGGTCATATAGTCCAACCC